TTAAACCTGCCTGTAAACAGCAGACTTAAACCTAGAAAGTGCTTCAGGTAGCTTGATTGAAAAAAAAAAAAAAAAAAAAATTAATTTAGAAGAAAATCTCATCAAAAGTAAATCTGACGTGTTCTTGAATTTCCATTTCAAACACTGGTGCCCGATACCAGCACTATCATGCACAAACTTGAAATGAGGTATTTATTATCTGTCTTAACTGGGGAAGAGACAGAAGAACCCCTGGGTTTGGGGCGGTGGCAAGACCAATAAAAAGATTTTTGAAGAGAAAGACTGGGACAGAGGGAGACTTCATTTCCATCAGTCACGATAAAATAATAATAATTAAAAAGAAACAGCAAAGGATGTTTCTCTACTCAGTTTTTACACTAGAAAACAAGACATACCTGGTGCAACTATAGAACATAAATCAATGCACTGGTCAAAAATAAGCCTAAACAGCTGAAAAGGAAAGTAAAGGGGAGAATTCACTCTCGCAAATAAGACTGAAGTCTGCAGCCTGTGAAAATAATGCCAGTATAGTGCAGAAGTAAAATAGCAAAAATTGTTTGGTCACTTTAGAATTAGCTTTTTCATAGTTGGAGGAGCAAGGGACTTTGGCCACAAAGCCGGTTTAAGGAACATATCTTCCTCTGTCAATCACTCCTACCTTTGTGAGCAAGTTGGGCTGCTCCTTCAGATGTGCTGACACAGCCTGTTGGTAGGGACATAACGTTAATTGGCCCAGGGTATTCCTGAATCATCTTTATTTTATGTTTTTACCTTGGATACATTCAGATACCAAACTCCTGACACTGACCCCTGGACAAGCAGTGTTAGACAAATGGAAGATCCTGATGTGTGGTGCTGACAGAGAAGCTCTTTTAGCAGCTCACGCTGCTGAAGCCCCAGTATCACGAGAACATCTCTGCAGAGAAGCTCTTCTGGGCAGAACATACTAGTGTTTCTGGCCAGTCTCTAACTGGATTGGACTGCCTGCCAGTCCCATCTCCTCCCAGCAGCAGGGCTGGCTTGAGCATCTCCTTAATCCCTTCACCTGATTCCCATCCAGTCCTTCTCATCACACCACCACGGTGCCAGCACAAGGAGTAAGTGGGGCTGCACGGAGCGCCAATCAGGAAAGCAGTGAAGTAACACAGAAAAGATAAATGACATAAATCAAAATGAAAAGAAGCAGAGGGGATGATTATAGCTGGATCAGAGCTTTAATTAGTTCTCAGCATGACAAACATATAGATGAGGACAAGACACTAGTAGCGCAGGAGCAGTAAACAACTCAAGCCTGGAACTAGAGTTGTTGACTTTATGAAGAGAAACCACTGCACAAATTCTACCATTAAATGTATTTTGAAACCAACTGCACAAACACACTTTATAGAAGATGCATGCAAACATTCCTTGCTGTATGTTGACATGCCATCAGACAACACCAGGTAACACCTGAGTTAGATAAGAGAGGAAGCGGAAAGTCAGATATTTCTCTCTCATGCCTGTTTCTGAGGGATACAACATCAATGCTCAATACATTCAACCTACTACACAGTGAAAAAACAGAATTGATCTGCTCCTCTTTGGTCTTACCTAACCTAACTGTGAGGACTGATGCAAATGCATCTATTTCTAGCAAATAGAGCAGGTGATGTAAGCAGTGGAGTTCCTCTGTAGAGACAATGCCTTCGCTTAAAAGAACAAAGGCAAAACATTTTCTATGGGTTTGGGTTCCCCTCCCCCCCACTCTTCCTCTGCTCAGATTTAAAAAGTTTTTTTTATAAATCACTACTGTCAGGATTGTAAGACTCTTTCCAGGTTGATTTCAGCTTCTGCAAGTGAGAAGCCCAACTCTTCCACCTTCTCTTAATAATCACACCTTAAGAGAAGGTCTGCTTCAGACAGACCCTTAACGTGCTTCCCCTTATTACATCCCGCAGCACAATACAGGGAATCCACAGCTGCTCCCTGGCTTCAGTTTATTTCAAGTCAAATGACTTCTCCCTTGATTTCAGCTTCTGCAAGTGAGAAGCCCAACTCTTCCACCTTCTCTTAATAATCACACCTTAAGAGAAGGTCTGCTTCAGACAGACCATTAACTTGCTTCCCCTTATTACATCCCACAGCACAATACAGGGGATCCACGGCTGCTCCCTGGCCTCAGTTTATTTCAAGTCAAATGACTTCTCCCCCTGGTTATTTTTAAACATTAGAAAGCCATAGCTATTCTTACAGGATAATTAATGGATCATTTCCTTGGCATTATAGGCATATTCTGGCACCCAGCTTTTGTGCGGGTTTGTTGGATTTTTCCCCCCCCGGCTGCAGCATTTGACACCAATTTAAATGCTGAGGTACCCCAGGTCCCCTGGTTATTTTTAAACATTAGAAAGCCATAGCTATTCTTACAGGATAATTAATGGATCATTTCCTTGGCATTATAGGCATATTCTGGCACCCAGCTTTTGTGCGGGTTTGTTGGATTTTTCCCCCCCCGGCTGCAGCATTTGACACCAATTTAAATGCTGAGGTACCCCAGGTGGGCTCAAGGACTCCATGATCACAGAATGATATGGGGTTGGAAGGGACCTCTGGAGATCATCCAGTCCAACCCCCTGCCAGAGCAGGTCCACCCAGAGCAGGTCCCACAGGAACAGTAAATCAACATTTTGCATAAGTTTACTCTTGGAATTCTTTCAGGTTTTGTTTGAAAGCTTTTCTTAGTAGCATCTTCTCTAACAACAAGCAAAGATAGGTTTTATTTGACTTCAGCAATTTTTTTTATTCTGGAGTCTCACTCTGTCCACAGGGGTAAGGCTACAAATTATGATGCTCCTTACAAGATTCAGTTTTATACTGCCTCACATGAAAGGTGTCTCGGGAAATCCTCTCTAATCCTCATATTCACACCAAAATGGCAGCAGAACTGTTCGATGAAACAGCAGCAGTTTAAGATGTGTTGTGCTGAAGGCACGTGTGAAGGATTTGCAGATTTCAGATGAGACCTTGTCTTCACACCCGAGAAGCGTGCCACGTGTATATAGTAAACCAAAGTTTTTATTTTGGTTTGGACGAATGTTTACAAATTCATCTTCATCGTAGTATAGACTTTAAGAGACAGCATGTCTTATCAGTATGCACAGCTTTGGGGGTATTTTTTAAATGCCGCAGGAGATCAGCTGTTATTATCCAGATCATGTACTCAGAATACTAAATATCCCAGAGCTGATCTGTCAGATTGATTGAGTTTGAGCGCTGAGGGTGTCTAGGAAGAGTCTGAATGACTCTGTATTAGCTGAAGGATCTGTCAAACAATCTAAGGGGGGTGGGAAAGGGAGAAAAAGAAAAGAAAGAGGAAAAAAAAAGACGTATGTTTGAGTTTTTCCAGTTCCACAGATTTACAGACACATTTTTAGCTTCATATTGTGTTCGAGAGCACATCTGCACGTTAGAAAGTACCACCTATTTTTGAAGACGAGCAGCACAAGTCAACTGTAAGGAAAATAAAAATGAGTACTGAAGTTTTTTTAAAAGTAGATATTCAAAGTTTAATGCCCTCCAAGAGGACACCCCAGGCACCGGAGCAGAGTCCACACAGAAGGACCCCACAAGGACACTGAATAGCATAAGAGAACAGGGGACAATACCTTTTCCTCCTTTAACACACAGGGCCTGCCATTGACAAACAAACCCAGCAACCTTTAGAACACAACCTCCATAATCTTTCTGCAGAGAAAGGTCAATCACGTATCAAATTCACTTCAAATATTGAAGAACCCTATGTTTCCTTTAGATTTCATATTCAATGGGTTCTTTACAATGCTTATAGGGAAAAAAAAAAAAACACACAACCCCAAACAAAACCCCACAAACCAACACTACGCACCACCCTGAGGAACTTTGGAAACAGCCACTGAAAGCTCATTGAATAGTAACTAAACTTGACCAAAAAATAAACTGAACTATGCTGCTTTCTCTCTCAACCTGTCCAGGGAGAGCACGCAACCATCACCTTTGAAATCCAGACTTCGGGTTTTCTATTCTTTTCAAACAACTGTAAAAAGCTAAGGAATTTAAGACCAATGAATGCAGAGAAGTTCCCATTTACTAAAAGCCAAAGCAGAAACGAAGCCAACAAAACCCGAAAAGCTTTGGAGGACAGTTCTAGCTTGAGTCCAACCTGAAGTGCTAGAGCCAGATTTCGGAAGGGAGCGAGAGCAGGGAGGGGCGTACACCTCTGAAAGAGGAGAAAACTCACTTTGCCCACGTCGGCAGCGGCGATCCACAGCGTGACACAGCCCTCAGCTTATCTGCCGTCCCGCAGCCACCAAGAGCTACAAACTCAAGCTATCCTAACGCTCCCTTCCTAAACCTTGCCTTCTCAATCCCTTCTCCTCATTCCCGACTCTCCCTGTAACTTGAGGTGGGGAAGGAAGGACCAGTAAGACAACAACAGCACCATAAATTTGCGTGGAACCGGCGCTATGAGGATTACCTTTACCCTCAACCAGAGAGCACATAATCCACAACGATTAGACTATGTGGTGGGTTTTTCCCCGCACCCCTTCACCTCCTCTCACACCCGAGTTATTTCTAAGGCCGGGTTTCACCCGGGATGGGGCTCCGCTCCCCCACCATCCAAGCTCCTTCCCCCGCCACCCCAACAAACCTTTGCCAACAGGCAAACAACCCTGAGGGGGGCACCGCCACAGGATCAGCGAAGGGAGGGAGGAGAGAAAACAAACACAGAAAAAAAACCCCAAAATAACAAAAAAGCAGAATAAGGGCAGTATTTCCCGCCGGCGGTTGCGAAACGGAGCACACCCCCCCCCACCACCACCACACACACACACACACACACACAAACGGCCGAGCCGCGGCGGTTGGCCCCGGGGCGAACGTTATGCGGCCCGGTAACGGCTGGAGCTTACACCGGGGGAGGAGAGCGCCCGGCCCCGGCCCCGGTCCCCCAACCCACGGGGAGGAGGGATGGCGGCACCCACCTGCACGGCGGGGAAAGCGCCCTTCAGCAGGTAGAACATCCTGCGGTTGGAGAGGAGGTCGCCGCTCGTCAGCTGCTCCTCCGCCCCCTCCCGCGTCTTCCCCTTGGCCTTGGCGTTGAGGACGTTGCCCTCCCGCACCCGCTTCACCTCCTGCCCGCCCCTGACGGCGGCCAGCACGGAGACGGCCAGCAGCTCCCTCAGATCCACGGCGCCGGCGGGCGCGGAGCCGCGGGGGGATTCGGGCCCGCCGGCCGCCGCCGGTTCGCTCAGCATGAAGAAAGCGAAGCGGCCGGCTAGGAAGCCGGAGTAGAGGTGGTAGAGGACGCCCAGCCCTAGCAGGCAGAACACGGCCATGCCGAGCGGCGAGAGGCGGATCCCCATGGGGGCCATGGCCGCGGAGGGAAGGGGGGTGTATGTGAGGCACGGCGGGGCGGGCGGGCAGCGGTACCGGAGCGCTCACCACAACCCCATGGCGCCGCCGGGGCGCTCCGCTGCCTCTGGGTGCTGCGGTGGCGGGACCGGCCCGGCTCCACGCTCCTCAGCGGGCAGGCGGCACCGTCTGTATCCGGGTCAGGCGGAGGCGGGGCCCGCCGCTCGCACTGAGCATGTCCCGCCGCCCCGGCTGGGGAGGAAGAGCGGGGGGGTCGGTGTCTGTGGGTGTCCCGGCAGGAGGTTTTGGGGGGGGGAGAGATCCCCCCATGTTCTACCGTGGGCATGTGTGATGGCACACACCCACCGCTTCCCCTGAAACGTGGGGTTTGGGGTGGTTTTGTTTTCACTTCACTTCCTTCTTGGCGGCAGGTGCGTGAGGAACCTGCACCCCCCCACACCCGCTCGGAAGGAGGGCCCGACAGGCCGGGAAGGAGCTTTCTGTTGGAAATTCCTTTTTTTTTTTTTCATAAATTACTGCCTAACTTCTGAAGGTTGCCCGGAGAAGCTGTGGCTGCCCCATCCCTGGAGGGGTTCAAGGCCATGCTGGATGGGGCTTGGAGCAACCTGGTCTGGTGGGAGGTGTCCCTGCCCAGGGCAGGGGGGTTGGAACTCAATGATCTTTAAGGTCCTTTCCAATCCGAACCATTCTATGATTCACTGTTGACGGCTCTGAGCATCATTGCTGAGAATCTCAATTTTTTGAGATATAGCGGTCAGGGAATTCTGTGCCTCTCAGCCCGCTTGTGCTACAGGCTGCAGGAAAGGGGCTTGAGGTTAAAATATCCTTTCAGTCAGTAAAATGAAGCAAATACAACCGTTTTCCCACCCTAATGGTGCTAATGGCTCACCTGTCTTACTTTACACTTTTTCTTTGCACTTCAGCTATTTTGGGGGAGTGTGAAACTGCATGTTCATGGGCAGGGTGGACGTCGGGGGGGCAGGGAGGGAACCAGGAAGGATCTCTGATTTTTATTTTTTTTTCCTGTTCTCTTGTCTAATTCCCTCTAGTAGTTTTGAGTAAGCTATATTAAAAACAAAAGAAATCAATTCAGCGTTGTTTGAATTAATTACATGTTCTTGCATTCAACTGATACTCGTCTGTTGATACATGTGTTCTGGAAACAGACCTTGCTAATAACTCTAGAAAGAAGCCATTACTAGGGATCATGCAATACGACTACATTCCTGGGATCTTGTGCTGGGTTTTTTTTTAGTGTTAAACTTAGGTAATCAAGAATGTGAAAACTAAGAAAGACCAAAATTAAGATTGCCCTTGCAAGCTGAAGTTGCCATATCATCTCTCTTTTAATGGCACCTTCTTTACATGGTTACGTACCAAGTGTCCTGCAGGATCACACCCTCTCCGAAGCGTAGCTGTATGTGCAGGGACTGCAAGGGAAAGGGCTGCAGGAAGAGAAAGTATTGCACTTGAAATGGGAATCAAAAGAGTTGGATTTTACTCTTAGCTATGCTGGGATTTAACTGTATATGCTCTTGGGTGACAGCTAGAATGTCTGTGTTTTTCTGCTTCCCATTCTTTCTATGATACAATTTTTTTCTCTGCAGTTGTTTCTTTGGGAGAAAAGGGGCTTGAAAGGATGCACTGATGACTTTCCTTAATGCTGATTTCACAATTAAGCATTTCATGTAGTAATAATTAACGGTAAGAAACTGTGCAGCAGCACAGGGTAGATGTTGGAAAAAGAGTAAACTTGTGTCTGTAATGAGCAATGAACGTAAGACTAAGAACCAGGCGTGCTTGTAATGTGTCCCCTTTTAAAAAATGCTGGGCAAAGCTGTCAACAGCTGTGCTGCCTGATGCTCTCAGTAACAGTTTATGTGTGTTCAGTAAACTGGAATTTTAAATCACTAGTGGAGGAAACCCAGGAGAAGGAAGAAACCTTCAACTTTCTGAACTGGTTTCTTTCGCAATGGAAAAAAAATAAAATACGAGGCTATTTATCCCACAGAAGTGTGCAAAGACTTTACAGAGACATAGAAAAATTACGGATTTATTACTTGCTGCTAACATTTCTGTGCCTGCGGTAAATATAGACAGTAAACATTAATTGTAATGTAAACCATTAAGAGGACAGTGCACAGAGAGCTCTTTATTTCAGGGATACTGTATGTACCATCTGTGCCAGGTTTCTGAATAAACAGTGTTTATTATGGAATGCAATCACATAACTAATAGACAGTGTCCTGGCATCCTTTTTCTCTGTAGCAATGTTATTCTATAATCACCAATATAATTTTTTTTTTTAAGATCTCCGTCTGGCGCCTTCTGTGCTGTTTTCCCAAGATCCCTAGATCGGGTTTCTCATGTTTATCCAGGGTGGTGTTGACTTCAGCTGGGCTCCAGAACACCACAGAGGTCTTTGAGAAGTGCTGCTGGCAGGTGGCATAAAGGGAGTTTAGGCAAGGTTTTCCTTATGACTTCACCCTGTAAGATGGGCTTCAGGAGACCATGATGTAGGCACAAAATGTATGCAAACTTGTGAAAAAAAAAAGTTGTCTGTTCAGTCCTAGCAAAAGGAGATTTACCCCTTCACATGAGAAGTGAGGTAAAAATTTAATGGAAATGTTCGTTTTGAAAATACAAAATTATTCTTTTGGCCAAATTATTTGATATGTTTGGAAAAATAGTTTTGCCTGAATAAAAACAAGGCTTTTAAACATATTTGGTTTTGACAGGAAAATTACATCCATCTCTAATACTGAAGAGTTCCTTAACTCGGTGGGGGGAAAAAAAAAAAGAACAAAAACGAAAGGTGGTTCCATCCAACCTGGATGGAAACTGAGGATGCAAATGTGATGTAATATATATACCCCTATGGAATCTGTGTCAGCTGGTGTCGTGGGAATCAGCTTTGTGTGAAGGCAGCCCTGACCTTGAGGACCCAAACAACACACTGATGTGCTAAAAGTAATGTCCCCCTTTAGCCTCCCACAGAAACAGTCGCCGTAGAAGGGCTTGGGAGAGCTTCTTGAATGGGGTGCAGTGTGCCAGGAGTGAAGTGCATTGCTTTGTCACT